ATCACAATAGTGTGCGTTGCACACTGATTACACCAGAGTCAGTCATGGAGTTCCTCAGGGTTCACTAATAAATACTAATAATAACTAATAAATGTCACTAATAACTGATAAATGTCTTCTAATAACTGATAGATGAGCATGAAATAAATAATACATTTATATTTAACAGACAGAAACTCTGGTTTCCCATGATGCACCTGTGTGCTGTCTCTGCTGAAGTTTGACTAGATGAATTAAAAATGGCTGCCATGTTTTACCTCTGCTTCCTGGTCACTGTTGCTGCCTTTTGATTGGACGGCTCCCGGGTACGGACCCCAGACGGTGTCAGGCTGGAGGTGTGAGACAGCTTCCACCTGTCTGCTGCTACCTGCACCTTCATCACTCAGCTGCAGCTCACCTGTGAAGAAGAGGAAGGGTTAATGCCACAGGAGAAGACCCGAGCTGGGCGTTAGACAGAACTGGACCTGGATCAGGACCTGGATCAGGACCAGGTGGACAGCAGGGGGAACCTGATCTGAGCAGAACGAGTCAAACTTGTGTTACTTCCTCAAAGTGAACCAGTTAGTGCAGAGGGGCGGAGCTGTGGTCTGCTGCTGCCCAGATACAATCCACGGTTATAACAGTTTTATAGTTTTCTTTATAGTTTAGTTTTATTTTCTTCTGACGTTTTTCTTTTAATTCAGTTTTAATTTGTTTTTACAGAAGATCTGTTAGTTTTTATTAGTTATTATTGCATTTTAATGCTTAGTTCCAATCCATCCATTCATAAAGAGAAGACACCTCAGAGGACAGAGACCTCAGAGGACAGACACCTCAGAGGACAGACACCTCAGAGGACAGACACCTCAGAGGACAGAGACAGCTCAGAGGACAGACACCTCAGAGGACAGACAGCTCAGAGGACAGACACCTCAGAGGACAGAGGACAGACACCTCAGAGGACAGAGGACAGACACCTCAGAGGACAGAGACACCTCAGAGGACAGACACCTCAGAGGACAGACACCTCAGAGGACAGACAGCTCAGAGGACAGAGGACAGACACCTCAGAGGACAGAGGACAGAGACACCTCAGAGGACAGACACCTCAGAGGACAGACACCTCAGAGGACAGAGACACCTCAGAGGACAGAGACACCTCAGAGGACAGACACCTCAGAGGACAGACACCTCAGAGGACAGACAGCTCAGAGGACAGACACCTCAGAGGACAGAGACACCTCAGAGGACAGACACCTCAGAGGACAGACACCTCAGAGGACAGAGGACAGACACCTCAGAGGACAGAGACACCTCAGAGGACAGAGGACAGACACCTCAGAGGACAGACACCTCAGAGGACAGACACCTCAGAGGACAGAGGACAGACACCTCAGAGGACAGAGACACCTCAGAGG